CATTTGTCTCTAACCCCGGCATTTGTTTTCCATTTTATAAACGCTTCCCTTTAAGTAATTGTCCCTGTTAACAGCATATACCTTTCAGCAGCCCTCGCTGCGCTATAAATAATCTGGATGAAGATGCAAGGATATGACTTTCACAAGATTGGACAATTGATTCAATCTGTGACCCGCGATCGCGAATAATATCGGAAGGCTATTTAAACAGATGAAGGCCTAAATTGTCTTGCTTGTATCTGAATTAATTTCTCATTCATCATCATTATGAAGTGATTGGTCTATTCAAGCTCTTCAGCCTGCTGGAACGGAGGGGATTTAAATGAGATTGTAACACAATTTAAATGCTTGCCGACTTTAACGAGGCCAATTGAGCAGCTGCAATAAATACAAATATTTTTCTAAACAGCCTTGTTTTAAATAATTACTTAATGCTTTCATGTTATTTTTAAGTGGCAATCTTTCTCTCTCTCTCTCTCTCCTGCTCAGAATATCTCATACTTATTTGCTGAGAAGGCGATTTTGGAAACGACTTCGCGTTTCTGTTTGCTTTGCAGATGGTAACACCCGTCTTGCGGTTGGCTTTTTGTCCCCCCTAAAGGTCAACATTTCGGGGGGCTCTCAAACTGGCCCAAATGGTGAGCTGAGCCCTGGTTTGGCCCTGGTGCGGTCTGAGGCGCCTGCCCCCGCAGAGCCCGAGAGGAGCTGGGTGCTGGAAGAAACCTGCGGTTTACAGCCAGTCGCTTCTCCAGACGCTGCATTCTGGCTGGGGCTGGCCAACGAATGCGTGTGACTGCACTTGCAGATCACCCCCAAAGAGTGGCATCGGGTCTGAGGCGTCCCATGACCGCCATCATCTTGAACAAATCAGAATCCCCCCCGTATCCCAAAGGTCCCTCAGGAAGTTCAATCTGCCCGCAGCTCAGCTCCCCTGCAGGTGGACTGGAGCGGGTGAAGGCCGGCCTGGCAGACAGAGGACCCGGCGCCAGGATTGCTTGAGGAGATAGCAATTAGGGGGAAATCCCAATATTTTAAAAAATATATATTTTATTGATTTTTTTACAGAGAGGAAGAGAGGGAAAGAGAGTTAGAAACATCGATGAGAGAGAGTCACCAATCAGCTGCCTCTTGCACACCCCCTACGGGGATGTGCCCACAACCAAGGTACATGCCCTTTGACCAGAATCGAACCTGGGACCTTTCAGTCCGCAGGCCAACACTCTATCCACTGAGACAAACCGGTCTCGGCAAAAAATCCCAATATTTTGCCCCAACCTTCTTTCCCTCCCCACCACGCAGAACTCCCTCTCTTGCTCCGGGGCCATGTGAATAGAGAGGGCGCTAAGAAAAGCTCTTCCCGCTAGGAGAGTGTCACCCGTCTGGCCACCCCCACAACTGTCCGCTGTGACACCCACGCTCCTAGGCGGACATATGGTGGCGGGGTTCCTCGGTGGAGGAATAATGGAAGCAACCGAGCGAGCGGAGAAGCCTGGGAGACAAAAGGGTCTTTTGCACTTTAGGGAAAGGTTGGGGGGAAGGCGGGGAGGGGGAATTGAGAGATGCGCGATTTGATGAGGGGACTAGGCTCCCATTTGCAAGGACGCCTAGGGCCACGTTCCCCAGGAGGCTTAGGGCAAAAGGGTGAGTCCTGTGCCTGGGATGTGGGCAGGGGACTGGTGTCTGGGCTCCGGGGTGTGGAGGTTCTTGGCTGGGAAGACAGGGCCCTTGTGGTCACCAGGGAAGCCGGGCACACCACATTGTGGGACTTGGTCAAACCGCAGGCCAGGGGGGTAAAAAATGGGGACCGGGTTGGAGGAACCAAGTGATTTGCTATGTAACTGGGCAATTTAATGCCAGAGTTAGGGAGCTGCTGGCCAGAATCATTTCGTCTGCCGAGCTCATCCTCTCTATCCTGTTGTTTAAAATGAGCATTATCCCAAACATATGCAATGCAATCAGTTTGGTCACACTTACAAGAACACGCTTTAATAAGGCAATCAATCACCCGCTAACAAGCGAGCGACGGCCAGCGCTGAGCACGCACCACACCGGGGCTGCGGGGCAGCCGGGCCAGGCTGGCCAAGATGGAGCGCGGGTCTTGGCCACCAGAGCCTGCCCTGCTGGTTCCACCGGGTTGAGGAGCCCAGGGAGTGGGAGTGGGAACTGAGGTGTCAGGCTTGGTGAGGGGTAACCGTGACCTGTGGGCCCCAAAGTGGCTCAGGACAAGGGAGAAGAAGCCGGAGCGTATAATTCAAAGCTGAACGGGCCACTCACTCATCAGGAGCCTCTGTTTTCCCACCTGCAAAATGGGACGGAAGCGGGGCAAAGCTAAATAGAGGCGTTTAGAATATTGAAAAATGGTAATGATAATGCCATTTTACAGGTGAAGTGGCGGCGCTGTGGAGGGGCGGTGTCTTATTCATGGTTATCTCCGCTTCCGCCTCCACTTGTGGCCGCAGCTGCAGGCGGGCAAACCTGTTTTCAGGTGCACGGGTGGGGGAGGGGGTGGGAGAAGCGGTGCCCGGCGCCAAACCGCAAACCTTGGCAAAAGGGAACTTTCATTATGAAGTAATGAGTAATTCCTCCTGGCAAGATGTATTGTTACATCTTCCGCTTCAATTTGGAGGAAGAGAGGCTCAATTACCCAGAAAATACAGTCAATTAAAGGCTGCTGATTGGACACGAGGCCGGATCATCGATCTTGTACTTTCCAATATCGCTGCAGACACCTCATTTTCCCTCCCTATTAACTGAAAATACGCCTGGCATTACGGCAACCCGCAGCCCATTTACCTGTCGCAAGCAATCTTTTGGCGCAACTCGAAGTAACCGCGGGATTTGCCGGGATTTGGCACCGGGAGCCCCAGGCCAGGCTGCGGGGAGCTGGCAGGGGCGGGGCGGGGCGGGCGGGGAGAGGAGGCTGCTGGGAATCTCAGCGCAGGGCGGTGCTGGGGGGAGGGAGGGCGGGGCACACTGTGGGCAGAAAGGTTTGCTCTGGGCCTCAGAGGAGGATGAAGGCCAATGGAGGCGCCCACACCTGCCATGGGTACCCCCACGGAGGACCCGGCCTGCTGGAGCTGGACGTCAGAAGCAGCCCCGTGGCCCTTCCGTGGTGACAGAGGATAGGAGTGAGGTGGCTGCTGAGTCTGGCCCTGACAGCCCAGGAATCCATCCTTGGAGATGACTGTCTGTTTGAGGATGGTTCAGACCCTTCCCTCCCTCATCTCCCGACCCCTAATGTCCAGACCCAGTTCCACACCCTCTGCCTCATTCATCTCTACTTGGTCGGCAAAAGGGCCAGGAAACTACAGCCCAGAGTCGCCTTTCCTCAAAGGGTTGGAGCAAGCGGAGGAGGAAGAAGCCGGGGGGAGCACCTCAGGGGGGAGCACCAGGTGGGGTCAGTGCTCTGCCAGGTTCGCCCGGAAGGCTCCCACCAAGCACAGATAAGGGAACACGCACTCCTGGCAGTGTGGAGCCTGCCTTCTCCGCCTCTGTGCCATGCCCAGTGCCATGCCCACGAGGAGCCGGCCAATGCCAGCAGAGATGTGAGGGGCTCTGTCTGTGGCTCCAGCTCTTGGTTCCTTCCCTGCCCAAGCCTGGAGTGGCTGAATGGCAGTTCCAAAACAGTCAAGCCACTGCCAGCTGCCAAAAAAACTAAAATGCTAACGTGAGAACCATGTCCGGCTTTTATTGCGATGTGGTCAACGAATTGTAACAGCGAACTCTGGGCTTCAAAGGAAAACCAAACTGAAGGAGCCCCTGCCTCCCAGCCGGAGCAGAGCTTGCATGGGGGTCGCCGGTCTCCTGGTCCTCAAACACCGGCTGCAGGAATGAGTGTGGGGGTGAGCGTTTGGGGGTGGCGCCACGCAGACCCCGGGGAAGGGGAAGGACAGGTGCCCCCGCACGGGCAGGAGCTCCCACTAGTTATCTGGAGTCGGGTTCCAGTGGCACCTGGGGAGGACGAGAGGAAGGATGATGTAAAAAGCCACACACAAAGGGGCGGGCCGGAGAGCTCCTGGTGCCCGTAGAGGCTGGAAATCGCCTCTAATTTGCCTCCAGATACCGAGGGAGGGGGTGAGGCCCGCTCCCTCAGCTCTTCCCTGGCGCCTTGTTAACAGCCCAGCTCTGGCTGGCTGCGTGGCGATCATCATTATACATTCAACATTCAAAACCCTCCTCACATATCACTCACTGCTCAGCATGTGCTGGGCCAAGGGCTCCTGGGGAGGGGGGGGGGTGTCTGCAGCCTCCCTACCAGCCTTAGAACAGAAAGTGCTGCGGGTGGTGGCGGGTGGGGGTTGGAGACAGTGTTGCGAGTTGAGAGCCATCCAGAAGCTCGGAGTGAGGAGAGACCAGGTGCTAGGAAACGGCAGGACCAGAAGCCGTGGTGCCAGCGAGACTCCAGGAAGGCCAGCGAGTGCCCAGGGCCATGGAGGGCCAGGCTTCTGGAGGCAGCACATCCTCTCTCACTCCCCTCCAGGGCTGGTGCATGGCCATCCACCACCCTTGCCACGCCGCCGGAAAGCTGGCCGGGACTAGTCTCTACCAGCGCTGCACACACAGCGTTTTGTTTAGAGACAGCAATTCCCCTTCCAGTGCTTGCGCTTGACTTGGGGGGTGGGGTGTCCCCGGTGAGGGGAGGAAGGGTGTGAGGGGGGATGGGGGAGCTGAGGGTTGCTCTTGCTGCTAAGTTGGTTTAGCTTTGGAGCCAAGGCCTCCACCCGGGTTAGGGGTAGTGGGTCCGATGACGAATGGCAAAGAGGGGCGCCCCAGAGGAAAGTCCTCAGCCTCTGCCGCCCCCTCCCCCAGTCCTATTCCTGCTGCCCCAACGGGCCGTCCGAGGCGGCTTCCGGCAGTCCCATCCTCCAGGCGGAGTCCTGTTGGTGCTTTTCGGGGCCCCTTCCTTCCCCTCGGCGCCCAGGGGGCGGGAGGGGTGCTGGCTGAGTCCCCGGGGGGCCCCTCCACGGGGCGTCCTGGAGCCGCAGCCCGCGGGCAGCCCCTTATCTGGTCAGGGGCACCTCCTCCCTCTGGTCCAGCGCCACGGAGGACGCTTTGCTGAGCACGGAGGGCGCGAAGGAGAGGAAGGAGTCCGAGCGGGACGAGGCACAGGTGAAGTCCGAGGCGGCGGCGGCGGTGCGGGGCGCCAGCCCGTTGGCGGGGCCGCCGTGGCAGGCGAGGCAGGAGCAGGGCCCGGCCGTGGCGCCCAGGCCGTGCGCGGGCGGGTAGAGCGGCGGGTGGCGCAGCGCGCACAGCAGTTCGGGCCGCGGGTAGGGCGGCGACAGCACGCGGAACGTGTCGAGCGGGCGCAGCGGGCCGCCGAAGGGCGAGGCGGGGGCCGAGGCGCCCAGGCCCACGGGCGGGTAGTAGGGCAGCGGCAGGTGCGACGGGAAGGGGTAGGGCAGGCCGCCCGCGGCCGCCGCGTGGCTCATCATGTACGTGTAGAAGGCGGGGTCGGCCGGGTGCGGCCACGTCATGGCCAGCCGCTGCCGCTTGTCCTTCATGCGCCGGTTCTGGAACCACACCTGCGGGCAGAGGCGCAGCTGGGGGCCCCGCAGCCCGGGGTGCAGCGCCCCCCACCGCCGCCCCCGGAGCTGGAGCCCCGCAGGAGGGGCTCAGAGAGACCCGGCCTGCCCCGCCCCCTCCCGGCTGCCCGAACCCCCCAGGGCTCAGTCCCCCAGGTTGCCGGCCTCCCCGGCTGCCCGAACCCGGCCCAGTGCGCTCGTGGGGGACAAGGGACTCCCCGGGCCTGGGGTGCAGCAGCGCTTCCCCAGAAACACCCTCCCAGCCGCTCTCCCTGGGGACGCTTCCCTGTCACTCGCAGGCACCCACCCGCGGTGCATTGGGCTCGGAAGGGACAGAGCAGACCGCTGGCAGCCGGGCCGCCCCCGGACTGTGGGAGTAAAGCTGCCCCTGGCGCCGCACCAGGCCCGGCCCCGCAGCCGCAGACCGGTTCCGGCCCCGCACACCCGGCCCGGGCAGGGTGCTGCCTCCTGCGGAGCGGGCGCCCCTCTCCCGGCCCCGGAGCGCATACCTTGATGGTGGTTTCGGGCAGGTTCAGGGCGGCCGCCAGCTCGCACCTCCGCGGCCTGGACACGTAGTTCTCCCGGTAGAACTCCTTCTCCAGCCGCGCGATCTGCTCGCGGGTGAAGGCGGTGCGGTAGCGGCGCATCTGGTCGCTGGCGCTGCAGGCCAGGCCGCCCTGGGAGCCCCCGCCGCCGCCGCCGCTCTTGGGGGCCTCGCCGCCGCCGCCGCCGCCGCCGCCGCCGGGGCTGCCAGTCAGCGCCTCCGAGCCCGGCCCTGCAGGGAGCCCAGAGCCAAGGGCAAGCGCAACACAACAGACAGAAAGGCCGCTGATGTGGGGCTGTGGATTCGGGTGCAGAGGTAACCCCCCCCCCCCCCCCTCAGTAACCGCTTCTGCTGGGGAGCTGGGGACTTCGAGGACCAGAAAGGGAAGACAGGGCTCACCATTCAGAGGAGCATGTAGCGGCCTGGGCCTGAATGGCCTGGGTACAAGCCCACCCCCTGTGCCCCCGCCCCTCCAGGCACCTGCCCGGGCATAGAGATGCTCAGCCTGCCATTGCCAGCAGCGGGCTAGCTGTGCGTGTCTGGCGGCTCCGCTGGAGCACTGTGGGCTCCCGTCCGAGTGCATTGTGGGATGCTGGGCACGGACTGGCCTCTCGCTTTTGTGTGCAGCATGTGTTGCACGGATGGCATGGGAGTGTGTTCGATGCCCTGGCACCTTAGGGTGGCTGAGGGAGTAGGGCTGTTCTGAGGCCATGTGTGGTGGGAGCCCGGGGAGGTGGGATGGGTGAGTGTAGTGCTCTACCAGGAGCTGGCGCCAAGGCCAGGGTGGTTTCCTTCCGTAGCAGGCTCTTCCCCCGCAGCAGCTTGTGGGGGAGTCTGCTGGTGGGCGCTCCAGCTTGCCACCCTCTCAGGGAGACTCTCTCCCGGCTGATCACCCTGCTCCCCCCCCCACACACACACACTAGCCTCTGGTCAGGGAGGGGGTCTCCAATTCAAGTGACAGCCCTGCTTTGGGCCTAGCCCAGCGGAGGGTGGGGCCGCGGCCCCCTGCAGCGGGGTGGAGCAGCGGGACGGGGAAGGCCAGGGGGAGGGGGCGGGCCGGAGCGCTGCCTTTTCAAATGCAACCGGAGACCAAAGGCAATTAGATCATTGGGACCATTTCCGACCTGGCGCCACCGAGCCAGGGAAGTGACAAGGTAATTCGGACCTCTGACCGACGTGCAAACTGGTCGGAGGGCCCCAGCACCAGGCGGCCCGGGCCAGCCTGGATTTTACGGTTTTTTATGGACTCCCGCTTCCGCGCCGGGATGCGCCTTACACCCCGCCAGCCCCCAACCGCCGGGCCCCGCGTTTGATCTCCCTCAGCCCGGGAAGGTATCTCCCAGAGGCAGTTGAAGCAGAACCACAAAACTCTGGGGGGTTGGGGTGCCTTTCACATCCCCCTCAAGCCCAGGGCTTTCGTCTCCCTCCTCCCCCACCCCCAAAGCGGAGCTGTCACCCTCAGTCCCGCCAAAGCCAGTGCGTAGAGGGAGACCCCGGGGGCGCAGAGAGCAGGGGCGCATGGCTCCAGGGGGTCCCCGTCACCCTGCCCGGGGAGAGGGAGCCCCTCGCTTCCCCGCAGGACTGAGGGGGAGGTGGGCGCGGCGGGAGGCCGGGAAGGGGGCGGTGGCTACCTTTGCTGTGCTGGTACTCGGCGCTCCCCGTGGCGCAGTCCGGGGTGCAGCTCACCTCGATTTCTTCATAGAAATCCGACTCCGTGTCCGAGCTGCTGGGCTGCCCCGGGCCCGAGATGCTGTCGGCGGCGGAGGGGGCCGGCGGCCCGGGGCCGAGCGCGGCCGCCCCCGCTGCCCCCGCCGCCCGCGGCTCGGCGCCCGGCCCCGCCGCGCCTCCCGCCAGCCCGTCCGCCGGCTCCTCCTCCGGGCCTGCCCCGCCGCGCTCCCGGGAGGCCGCGGGCCCGGCCCGGGGGCTCCGGCAGCCGCGGGGCACCGTCTTCTCGGGCGGCTCCGGCAGCGTGCCGCCCGCGGCTTCAGACAAGCCGGAGACCCTCTTGCCCACCAGCGCGCCAAGCTGCCCCCCGTCCAAAAACATAACCATGTCCTTCCGGCTCTCCATCCCAGACACCTCCGGAGGGAGGGGGGAGCCCCCGGCTCCTCGGGTCCCCGGAGGGTCCGGCCGATCGGGCTGCGGGGGGAGGAAGGAGCCGGCGGCGGGCCGGGCGCGGGCGGCGCGGGGCGCGGGGAGCGGGGTCACCTTGTGATGCGCCCGCTCCTCTGCGCCGCGCCGCCTCTGGGAGGGAGCCCCATGGCCCCCGTCTTCTAGGCTGTCATCCCGCCGCCGCGGGCGTCATTACAGTACCGCCGTGACGCCACCGGAGCGCGGGGATAAATAGCCGGGCCGCCGCCGCCGAGATGAAAGCGCCGCGCTAATGGTCGGCGGTGATGCGCCAGGTGTGGCCGCGCCGCGCGGGGCGGAGGGTGTGAGCGGAGAGGCGCGCAGAGCGGGGACCCCGGGCGGAGGAGGCACACGGGGGGCCGCGGCCAACCCGCCGCTGCGGGCCTGCCTGCCCGGACCGCAGGGCTGCGGATCGGGAATGGAATACGCGTTTGTTTTTTTTGGATTTTTTTTTTTTTATCGTTGCCTCGGCTTTGGTTTTCTTAGCTTGGTGCCTTGATCAGACACAGACAAGAGAACCCATACCCCTGTTTTAGGCCGAGTCACCAGGCTCGCTGTTCCGGGCATGATTGCCACCGCCCAGCCCCGGGAACCAACCTCAGCGGCTCCAGAGGCTTTTTGGAAGCGACAGGCGGGAAATCCTAGTCCGCCCCTCCCCGGGCTGCCTGGGGAGCTTGAACCTGGGGTATCCATCCTCTCCTCTCTTCCTCCCCCACCCCCTACCCCAGCCACCTCCCTCCTCCTGGGACCCACCGTGGCTGTTTTTCTTCCCCACGGGGCTAGAGATACATGTCTTAAATTTTTTTCTTTAAAAACCCGCCTCGGCTGCTGACCCACAGGGTTTGCTTATTATTATTATTATTATTATTATTATTATTATTATTATTATTTTCTTTCCCCCTACCCTCTAGGTGACCTAAAGGTTTCCACTGCCTGGCGCGCCTGTTCTAGAAGGAATCGCCTTCCCACTGGCCTGGGCCCCGCCTGCACTTCAGGTATGTAGGGTGGGGAGTCGTTCTGAGAGTGGCCTTTTCTTGCCCGTATGTTAAGGTCTTCACCCAGCGTCAACGAATTCCCCCCAAAACAGGTTTTTCAAGCGAAGAGGCGCCGCCTGCTGCGGCCCCTGCAGCGGCCCGCCAGAGGCCCCCGCTGTGAGCAGGCACTGGGCCGGGGGTGCAGGGGCGGAGGTACTGGGGTTCGCAGAGGTCTCACTCCCAGGGTTCCCTTCTCCCCTGCCTTTGGTCCTGAGAGAGACATCACCAAAAATGCCCAGAAGGAGTGAGTGGCTAGTGACTGGGCGCCCTTGGGAATCTTTGAGGACTGAAGGGCCCCACGCAGAGCTGGGGTGGGGGTGGGGGTGTATTTGGTGTCTTTGGGAGTAACCACCGCAGCCCCTGCCCGGCTCTCCCAGGGCAGGGCCGCCAGGGCTTTTGGGGACCAGTGCCCGCTCTGAGCCAGCTGTCAGGCCAGGCCGGTGAGCTGCGTCCCCCTCTCCCCCCAGCCCCCAGCTCCTTCCTTCACCCTCAGCCCTCCCAGCCTGAGCCACTGAGGCTGCCCCTCCTCGCCGGAGACAACGCCCTCGTTCTGGGATCGGAAAGAAAGGGCCCGGTCTGATCTTTTTGTCTGTCTATTCTCGCCTGCTTTTCTCGCCTCCTCCTCCTCCTCCTCCCCCCCCCATTCTTTTCCTCTCCCCCCCCCCCTCCCTGTCTCCCGGCCTCAGTCTTCCTGTCTGTGGCCAGCGGGGAGGTGGCAGGAGCAGGGCTTCGAGAAGACGGTTCTCCTCCGCTCCCACTTCTCCTCCTTATCCGTGCTGCCCGTTACCGGGGAGGGATTTGGGGGTATTGTCCGCACTGACATCTCCCCTGGGACTCCCAAGGCCGCCATCTGCTGAGCCCTCCACCCCCAAATCCTGGGGGTGGTTACAAGGTGAGAGGAGTGGCTGGGAGCAGAGGGACCAGATCCCCCAGCCTTTTGCTGCAGTGGATGTGAGGGTTCTGTCCCGCCCTCCCCTCCCCTCCCCTTCCCTTCCCTTCCCTCCGCTCCCCTCCCCTCCCAGCCAGCAGCCAGCGCCTGGGGACCATCTGCTCGCTCTCTCCCCTTCCTGTCCCCGCCAGGCCCCAGCATGTGCGGGAGCGGCGCGCTGTCCACCCTGGGGTAGGCCGCCCCTAGCCTGGGCCTGGGGGCCCACCCCCTCCTTCACCTGGAGCCCTCCTCCTCCTCCTCCTCCTCCTCCTCCTCCTCCTCCTCCTCGCAGAGCCCCCCACGGAGCTCCCCTGGGCGGGGCGCCCTCAGAAGGACTGGGCCCCCTCCCCCGTTTTGCACTCGGCGGGAGGCTGTGCGTTTGATCCTCGGCTGGGGCTTCCCCGCCACATGAAAGGGGGGATTGAGAGATCAAGAGGTGTCACTGGCATCTTCTCCCGGAGGCCGGCCTGCCGAGGGCTCCCCCTGGCCACGGGGAAGAAGGGGGCTGCAGGCAAGACACAGCCTCTCTGGGGAGGCGGCTGCCTCCTGGCTGCCTCCTCCGGACTCGGATGTGAGGCTTCAGGGACCAGCCCCCCAGCCCCACTTCCATCCCGCCCACCCCCACCCCCGCTCTCCCCTTTCCAGCAGCCTCCGCTTCCCGGGTCCTTAGGGGCCTATGGCAAGCCCGCACAGGAAGGGGCATTTTAACCAAAAGTCACTTCCCCCAGCACCCTGAGGAGGAGCGCTGGGCTTTTAGCTGGAGGAAAAGAACATGGGGGAGGGGCGGTAGGTGCAAACACTTTCTGAGGACTTTTCTTTTTGGGGGGGAGGGGAGCTGCTTGGAGTAGTTTCATAGCGTGGTTATCAGTGAACTGAAGGCTTTTCCCGTCCCAGACCCTGAAGGAAGGTAAATCCACAGCGGAGAGTCATAGACAGCAGCCAGATCTGGGCGACCCCATGACAGTGGAGAGGGGGTGATCCAGCAGCCTGAGGGGGGCTGGCCCAGCCCCCAACGCTTCTCACCTCCCTGGGCCGGGGGACCCCTGCCCACGACCTGGCCTGCTGTCCCTCCCCACTGGGTGACAGCTTAGGTGCCGGCGGCTCCTCTGGGATTGAAATTCTCGGGACTTCAAAAGCCCGGGACTCTGCTTCCCCCGGGGCTGGGCCTGCGTAGGGAGGTGGGAGGACGGGGCAATGCGGAGATGAGGTGCTGGTGGTGAGTTAATGGAATGGAAAGCCCGGCCTGGGCCACCACAAGCACCGATCCCATCCGCTGGGGTCGCTTCCCAGGACAAGCCGCTGGGGAGAGCAGGGGTGGGAGTGGCGCTCAGGGGCCTGCAGACCCTCGTTCGCCACAGTCGGTGCCTGAGAACCTTCTCCAGCCCAATGCCCGGCCTCCCGGAGGCCATTGCCAGTCCCCGCCAAACGGAAGGGGCGCCGGGACCTGGCACAGGGCACAGGGTTCCAGGAGCTGGGCTGGCTGCTTCAGGGCCAGCAAAAATTGGACCAGAAAGGATTTGGTTTTGCTCTTCACTTGGTAAAACGCCGGAACAAAGAGAGCTTCTCTTTCAGCAGTAAGCATCGCCCGGCCGTGGGTCTTGATCTTGGGCCCGTGGTCATCTTTGAGGCTGGGGAGCCCCTCAAAGTTCCCCCCAACCACTGTGTCTCCACAGCGGGCATCGTGAGGGGGGGGGAGCACTTCTGGAATTGGTTCTGGCAGCTGCCGAAGCCCATGGGGAACCCCGAGCTCAGAGGCACTTGGGGCTGGGCCCCTCCAGAGGCCTGGCTTCCCCGCAGGACAGCACACCTGGCGGCTCCCCACCCCCGCCTGCAGAGGGAGCTGAAGGCTGTGTGGGCCTTCAGTGGGGACCCGAGCGCAGTTTGTCCATCAGGCAGGCGGGACCTGCAGCTTCTGGAACTCTGGTTTGGACAAAGTGCCCCCTTCTCCCTGCACCTCCTGGATGGAAGGGCCAAGTTTCTGGGACAGGAAACAGGGTGCTTCCTGGACCCTCTGCCTCCTCCTCCCCAGGCCCTTGCTCTTCCTGCTCCATCTGTTGGGCTGGCTCCTGGAGGCCCAAGCCTACAGCTTCCGAAGCCTGGGCTGGGGGCTAAGGCCTGGGCAGCCCACATCCCCACATCCATCACCTGCCCATCCCAGGGCAGGAGGACCCGGGGCAGGACTGGAGCCCTGAGGACTCCTCCCGTTGGAGACTTGCCCCTGCCTCAGGAGCAATTCCCCAAAGTCCCAGGCACCCCTTTCCCATGCTAGCAGACATGACATAGGGTTTTTCCCTTCACCATCGCTGTCCTGAATTTTGCTTTTATTATAATACAAAGGGCCTTGATGCCCATTTATTGTTTGATCTACAGAATATTCTTTTAAAAGACCTTTCCTCCCATAGGGTCCTCAGTGGTCTTGACTCAAATGGCTGGGGCCTGGCTGAGTGTCAGACCCGGGACCAATGCTTCTTCCAGGCCTTGTCCCTCCCTGGCCCACAAAGATGCCCCCCACCCAGCAGTGCCTTCACCCTCCATAAGGCACCCCTCCACAAGCCTCCAGCCCTCTCCGGGGTCTGGGTGCATCCAGGGGCACCTCAGAGAGAGTACGTGCCTGCCCTCAGAAGAGAAAGCGCTCTCTCTCTCTCTCTTTCTCTCTCACGCACATGCACGGAAGGACGGTCCTCACCTGCCCCACCTGTGATTTCCCGAGCGGGCAAGGAGAAACTCCATCTAGAAGCCCGGAACCCCACAGGATGAGAGCAGTCACTGTTTTGGGCATTTCACTGGCTTAGCTGTTTCTACCCTCACAACAGGCCTGAGGAATATATTCCGAATCACCCTTATTTTGCAGCTGAGGAACCTGAACCCAGAGAAGAGGCCCACACACACATGGCAGTGAGGACCTCACCCCTTCCCTCTGGCTTCCCTGAACTAACAGACTGCCCCAGGCATCACACTGAGCCTTTCCTACAAACAGG